CGCCGGTCCGGAGCTGCCGAGAAAGGCGTCCCTGGGGCGGGCTGCCTCCGGCCGGGGAGGGAAGTGCGCGTCTGCCCCGCTGCCGACAGCTGCCCACATGTGCAGCGCACGCATCTGCCCCTGCACACACACGTGCATCTGCACACACGCGCACGTCCCCGCACACACACATATGTGCGTGCACACACACATACACCTCGTCCCTACACATACATGCACATCTCTCTACACGCACCCTGCACACGCACATCTACCCATACACACACACCCCTACACACATCTGACCTGACACACCTCTATGCACACATCTTTGCCCATACACACACCCCTACACAGCTACCCTACTCTTACACCCCTCTACACACGCGTCTCTACAGATACACCCCCTTCTACACACACACACATCTCTACACATACAGCACACACACAGAGCACGAGCTTTTGTGAACCCAAGCTCACTTCATCAGATGCTGTGCAAAGATGCGCAGAAAGCAGAGGACAAGGAGAGAGAAACTAGTATACAAAAGACAAGAGGGGCAGTGCTAGGAGAGACAAGCAAAAGAGCAGTAAAGCCCTGTGTCTCCTGCACTGCACTGCACTGCCTGTTCCATAGGATCTCTCTGGAGCAGAGGAGTGTAGCGTGATACCCAGCATTTGGCCACCACCTCAAGGCACAAAGAGCTTGCAGGCACACACGCAATAGATAACCGATGCTGCCCAGACACCATCAACTAGTTTTGCTCTCAGGGCTATGCATCTTAGCCTACTGTGCCAGTTACCATCAGTGTAGTGCCAGTGGGAATATGGAGTGCTGACATAATAGTCACTTTAGTGCAATTAGCCTCCCACTGCTGTCTCCCAGGGCTCTAGTCATCGCCTAGCTGGCTTGTCTGACACTGTTCTCTGTTCGTTAAAGGTCAAGTTTTCAGGCCACGCTTGTGGATGCTGAAGAGATGCAGGAAGACTCTGGCCATGTGTTGCAGATTCTTTAAGGTATCTACAGGGCATGTGTCCACATGGGGTTGTGATGCGTGAGTTTTCCAAATGCATTTTCTTCACCTTATTGATATTAACACCATTTTTTAAAAGTTCCAAACAAAGCAGTGTTTTTATTGCTTTTACAGAAACAGCTTAGAAGTCACGTAATGATAATGTTTCATGGCTTTTAATGCTGAAAAGGATTTTTGTTGAACTGTAAGCATCCTCTTCTGGTGGAGCAGCTCAAACATAGAAGCATTCTGTCAGCACCTGGAAGCAAGTATGACTGCAAATGAAAATGAAAGGGCAAAAAACCTGGCTGTGACAGAAGAGTCCTTTGCATAGCTGAGGTGGAAGTAGGAAAAGTTGATTTTAAACCACATTTGGACTTCTTTGAGCACTCCTGGACTCTGGTATAAATTAGCCACATCTGAAAGCTGCTTTAAATTGTGCCAGCTGCTAAAAGCACCAAGGAACCATTATAATGGCAGAGATCAGGTCCAAAATGACCACAGTCTGCACCAAATGAAAGGTAAAAAGGAAACAAAGAGCTTTAGGAGTGAAAAGCCAAAGCTTTTTAAAAGATCTGATTTTAATTCATTAAAGTTTTACTTAGTAGCACACAGAAGACATTTGTTTAAAAAATAGATTTTTAGCTGATTAGTGTTTTTGTTCCTTTAACAAACTCATAAATGCAGGGCATTTTCTGGATATTGTCAACCAATTAGGTATGGGGCATGGTCACTTTCAGAGCCAGGACACCCTCTGTGTGTTACTGCTCCCCAGACAATTTTAGCACCAGGTTCATATCCATTGGAATCTAATTTTTTTGTAATTCATGCTTTGTTTTGTTGGGGTGTGTGTATGTGTGCATATGCATGTGTGCACGACTTGTTTAGATGCAGTGTGTGTATGTGTGCATAAGTGTACGTGTGAGAGTGTAAGACTTCACTGACAGAACAGTGAGATGGCTGCCTGGTGGCTTCCTCTGGTTCTCTTTATGGTGCTTTGGAAGGAGAAAAACCTGCTGTACTGGGAAAAGCAGTGCTGAAGTTGTGGATCTGTTTGGTCCCTGTGTACTTCCTCTGCCGAAAGGAAGGTCTGTCCCCAAACACAAAAAGATCTTCCTTCAACAGACCAGGAAAAACAAGAGGACTCAACTGATTATGGAGGACAACAGATGAACAAAACTGGATGAGGATTGAAGGTATAAGGTCAAAAGCAAGGATCCAGAAGGGGATACTAAGTAGGGATACTTAAGTGGAGCCCAGTCTCCCATGTAGGAGTTCAAGAAGCCAGTGGATGCTTCCCAGATGACCTGTCTCCAGAGACTTGATACACGGAGGGAAGGGAAATAGGCCCTGCAGTCAAAGCACTTTCTCTTCCCTGTTGAATTTCCTCCTGGTGTGGATGGCCATCTTGGCCTGCCCCAGGCAGAGTTGATGAGGTTGTCTTGCATTGATACAATGGCCAGATAGCCAAGCAGTGGTGTCTCTTTACAAGATAAAAAGGATATCAGCAGCCTGTTGAGGCAGCAAGGAGTGGGAAGACAATGTCTGAGGCTCACAGATTGTGCAGTCCATTGGAATCAAAAGTTAGTAAGCAGTTAGGAATACAGCAAACAGTGCAAGGTTGTGGTAGCTTACTGGGGATCCAAGAGCAATGTTTCTGAAGCCTGGAGAGACATGATGTCATTCAGCTGAGAGATGTGACAAACACTGATATCTCTTAGATCAAAGTTCTGTCAAACATTTTTATAATGTGGGCCAGATGTTACTAAAAGACCTATCCCTTGCACATACCTATTCCTTCTGACAGTCAACCAGAGGACAGTCTCCTTCAACCACTAGCAATAAAACACCATTTCTTTCTCAGTTCTTGACATTGATTAATTGGACAAGAAACATAGGAGGAAAGTATCAGCTGCATTTTTAGCTGTTTTTAATGTTAACTCAGAAACTAGAAATAAGGAGTCAGCTCTGTATGACTAGCTACTCGCTTATTTTGAGTATACAACAAGAAAACGTCTCCTGCATACGCTAAGACTATTAGAAACCAATTTAAAACACTTTTTCTTTACATAACCACTTTTGGGTTGAAATAAAGGGATGGGGAGGGCAGGGTTTATTGAATGGCTGGTCAGTTTTGAAATTAAAAAAAGGAAAATATTAAATAAAATGCTGCAAAATGTCCCCTTGTCCGTCATTCACTTGGACATATGACTTCTGTGCTTGGCTCTGACTTTCACTGGCTGTATATGACCTAGGGCAAGTCTTTCCCCCTCTTTTCAGCCATCTGAAGTGGTTATCAGCTTCTTCTGGGCACTGTGAATTTTGATTGATAGCTAGAAAAGGGCCCTGAGATCTTTGTATAAAGATGCCAGAGACTTGGGAACTCTGACGGAGTTTGGATGAATGTTGTAGAGTGATTTTTCTTCTTTTTCCAGTTGCTCAGCATGTACTGGCTGCTCTACTCCTGTGTTCTCTGACAATGAGCCCCAACTCCTCCCTCAGCCATGGGAAAGGCCTGAGGAACCTCACAACCCAGGAAGATGGGGCCATCAGAGTGACAGAGTCAGTGGCAATTATTGTCATTGCTATCTTCATCTGTTTGGGCAACCTGGTGATTGTCGTGACCCTCTACAGGAAGTCTTACCTCCTAACACTAAGCAACAAGTTTGTGTTCAGCCTGACACTGTCCAACCTCCTCCTCTCCATACTGGTGCTGCCTTTTGTCGTCACCAGTTCCATCAGGCGGGAATGGATCTTTGGAGTGGTGTGGTGCAACTTTTCTGCCCTGCTCTACATGCTGATCAGCTCGGCCAGTATGCTTACCCTGGGCCTCATTGCTATTGATCGGTAAGCTGCTGTCTTGTGGCACATAGCAATTCAGTCCACATTGGCTACAAACAGAAGTCTCATTTGTCCTGCGGTAAATAAACTGTTTTATCCTGGAACAAAGTGCAGTCGTTCATATCGTGCAATTGTTCATTTGTCCATGCCTGTTGTCTCTTATAAATCCTAAAAATGTTCACAGGGTAAAAAGTGCTAACAGTTTATCCTAGGATATCACAAAGTACATCTGAACGGTTATCCCAGGATTGCATCATTGAATCAGTGGCAGGAAAACGGCAGAGTGATGGCTGCATGTGTATTTTTAATGGAGGCATTTCTTGATTTTGAATTCCTGACGGAAAGTAACTGTTGTAAAAATAGGGAGCATTTTTAACAGTGTCCCTTGGATTCAGTTTGAGGTTTGGGAGGAAAGCAGTTTCTCTGGGGTATGAGGAAAGGGGAAATCTTAATCTCTTGTTAATTGGACTTAGCCAGTAAACTGTTATACCTTTTAATAAAGCTTCTGCTTCTTTTATGTTTCCCAGGTACTATGCTGTCCTATACCCAATGGTTTATCCAATGAAGATCACAGGAAACAGAGCGGTGGTAGCCCTGGTGTACGTGTGGCTACATTCCCTCATTGGCTGCCTCCCTCCTCTCTTTGGCTGGTCTTCCTTGGAATTTGACCAGTTCAAATGGATGTGTGTGGCTGCGTGGCATAAAGAGGCAGGCTACACTGCCTTTTGGCAGATCTGGTGTGCTCTGTTGCCCTTCCTGGTGATGATGATCTGTTACGGATTCATATTTCGCGTGGCTCGCGTGAAGGCACGCAAAATTCACTGTGGCAGTGTGGTCATTGTAGAGGAGGATGCACAGAGGAATGGGAGAAAGAACTCTAGCACCTCCACCTCCTCTTCAGGCAGTCGAAGGAATGCTTTTCAAGGGGTTGTCTACTCAGCCAATCAGTGCAAAGCTTTCATCACTATTTTGGTTGTGATTGGTGCTTTCGTGATCACTTGGGGGCCTTACATGGTTGTAATCACATCAGAGGCACTTTGGGGGAAAAACAGCATTTCCCCTGCTTTGGAGACATTAGCAACATGGCTGTCATTTTCAAGTGCCATTTGTCATCCGCTGATATATGGACTGTGGAACAAAACTGTGCGCAAGGAACTCTTAGGAATGTGCTTTGGTGATCGGTATTACCGGGAGTCATTTGTTCAACGTAATAGAACAACCAGGTTATTCAGCATTTCCAATAGGATCACAGGTAACAAACAGAGTGATAAAAAGAAATACACTTCTAATGAAAAAATAATGATGATGCTTAGGATCTGTACTTGCTATACATCTTTCATAGATTGGGTGAACATGATGTAGAGCAGTGGCTCTCAACCCTTTTTAGGCTCAAGGCACCACTGGATAAACTTGAGGCACCCTTGGAAAATACCAGCTCTTCATGTTCACTCTTTTTTGTTTACAGAAAAATAATACAACAGGTTTTCTGTTGCAAAGAACTCAGAAAAAACACAACTATGGATTTCTATTTGAAATGTCTGGGTTTATCTTGTGAATCGTTTGTAGAGCTAATAGTGCTAATGGTGTGTAGCACCCTTCAAAGGATCTCGAGGCACCTTGGCTGAGAATCACTGGCTTAGAGGTTTCTTTGCTGGGGGGGTATGGGGGTGTTTCAATAGATTTTTGTTCAGATTACATCACTCAGTTGAAGGAAGTTTGGGGTAATCTCCCTTGCTCCTCACTCCCTTCTCTTCATAGAGCAACATTTTCTATGCAGAGGAGATACAATTGTGGGTCTAGTAAAAAAGAATGTCCTTCCCTCATCTCTACCCTCCACACACACACGGACACACACCCCCTATTTCAAATTATTCAAGTTAAACAGTATCAGCAGTATATTCACTAGAACTGATTTTCCACTACATCTCCCTGATTTTATGCTGGTGAAAACCCTTTGACTTCAGTGGAATGACATTGTATATAACAAGTGCAAAACAAGTGTAACAGAGTGGAGAATCAGGCCTAGGATATTTTTAAGGAGCAAAGTGTAAATATTTTCAGCAACTAAAGCTCAGTATTAATTTGTTTGCCAAGTGCTTTCACCTCCCTCTGAGGTTGTCTCTTTAGTTCTAGTGAATGCTGCCCCAGATTTTCCATTGTAAGATTATGCAGTCAGTTCATTATGACTTCCCCAGACTTTTACCTTATGGGCTAAACTTTTCCAGACTTGATTTGTCCCTGAGATCTAAATGTTTTCTAAAGTTAAAATGGGTGTTTTTGAAGAGAAAAATACCACCTACTGTGTGAAAGAACCACACCAGGAAGACTGATTATACTGGGGAAAGA